AGAATGCAGAAATTACCAAACAATATCATTAATATCACACACAAGTAAAATTTTGCTGAAGATGAGTCAAAAGCGGCTGCAGCAGTATATCAACAGGGAAGTGCCAGAAATTCAGGCTGGATTCAGAAGAGAACATGGAACCCACGATATCATTGCTGACGTCAGGTAGATCTTGGCTGAAAGCAGAGAATACCAGAAAGATGTTTACCTGTGTTTTATTGACTATGCAAAGGCATTCGACTGTGTGGATCATAACAAATTACGGTTAACATTGCAAAGAATGGGAATTCCAGAACATTTAATTGTGCTCCTTAGGAACTTGTACATAGATCAAGAGGCAGTTGTTGGAACAGAACAAGGGGATATTGTGTAGTTTAAAATCAGGAAAGGTATGTGTCAGGGTTGTGTCCTTTCACCATACCTATTCAATCTGTATGCTGAGCAAATAATCCGAGAAGCTGGACTATATGAAGAAGAACGGGGCATCAGGATTGGAGGAAGACTCATTAACAACCTGCATTATGCAGATGATGCAACCTTGCTTGCTGAAAGTGAAGAGGACTTGAAGCACTTACTGATAAAGATCAAAGATTACAACCTTCAGTATGGATTACACCTTAACATAAAGAAAACAAAAATCCTCACAACTGGACCAATAAGCAACATCATAATAAATGGAGAAAAGATTGAAATTGTCAAAGATTTCATTTTACTTGGATCCACAATCAATACCCATGGAAGCAGCAGTCAAGAAATCAAAAGACGCATTGCACTGGGCAAATCTGCTGCAGAAGGCCTCTTTAAAGTGTTGAAAAACAAAGACATCACCTTGAAGACTAAGGTGCACCTGACCCAAGCCATGGTATTTTCAGTCACATCATATGCATGCAAAAGAAGGAAGACCGAAGAACTGACGCCTTTGAATTGTGGTGTTGGCAAAGAATACTGAGTACACCATGGACTGCCAAAAGAATGAACAAATCTGTCTTGGAAGAAGTACAGCTAGAATGCTCCTTAGAAGCAAGGATGGCAAGACTATGTCTTACATACTTTTGGACGTGTTGTCAGGAGGCTTCAGTCCTTGGAGAAGGACATCATGCTTGGTAAAGTACAGCGTCAGTGGAAAAAAAGGAAGACCCTCAATGAGATGGATTGACACAGGGGCTGCAACAATGGGCTCAAGCATGACAAAGATTGTGAACATGTCGCAGGACTGGGTAGTGTTTCGTTGTGTGGTATATAGGGTCACTATGAGTCAGAACCAACTTGACAGCACCTAACAACAACAACATGGCACAGGAAGGTTTGATTGACTCAGACCTCACAGACCACACCGCCCACACATGCCCTCATCTGTTTGTGGGGGTTTACGGCACATAAGACTTTTGATTGATTGGCTCCATGTGATTGATGTCATTGAATGCAGCTCATTTTGTGTCCAGCACAATGCTTAATGTTTCATGTGCACTAGCTCCTCTGAGCCACAGAACTCTACGAGGTCGATACTATCCTATGGCCTTTCTCCAGATGACGAGACCAGGGTGCAGAGGGTTATGTGGATTGCACACTCAGCTGGATATGGATAAAGCTGGTGTTCCTAAACCAGGTGTCTGAGTCCAGGACCGAAGCTCTCGACCACTCTCTCCGCTGCAGGTATCTCTAGAATATTCTAGAACACTCTCGGTGCATTTGGAAAGCACAACCTGGAGGCTTCTTTCTTGTATCATAAGGCCATCCTCGAACTGCTGATGAGAATTTGGCTTTTTCCCACGGAAATACTGCATTTTTTATTAATTGGGGTTTAAAGTTAGAAAGAAGTTGAGGAATTTATTCAAGAAAAAAACAACAATAAAGACTATGCCAAAACATGAGGAGAAAAACAAGGAAGTCTTAACTAAATATCCTGGCATCCCTCAAAGTTGACATGTTAAAAACAATCGGCATCGCCACTGTTCTCCAGGACGACTCTCCCCAGACCTTCCCCTCCTTCTGACTTGGCTGCTGCCGCCTCTCAATCACCTGTGGCAAAAGCTGGCGTCTTCCACAAACGCCTGTCATCCTCCCCTCTTGCAGCCCATCCAGACAAACAAGTCCTATGGATTCCACCCACTGCCTCTGTCCTGGGCAGACATCTAATCCAGCGGCCTCCGGTGGTGTTCATATCAGGCATAGCAGAAAGTTACTGCGTTTGGGTGGCACCTGGGTGGACGGATGTGATGTGTTTTGAGGCCACCAGCCATGTCTCCATCACCCTTCGCCTCTCATAGGTTAGCTAAGGTCTGAGGGGAGCCAGCTCCGGCACCCCGCTACCCATCATGGAAGCTGGGAAGCTCCATCCCAAGTCACCTCTCTGCTTCCTCCACTCCCTCTGTAACTGACCCACCACATCAGGGTGGTGTCCTTCACACACAACATCCTTATTAAACCGTCAATGGCGTCCTTCCCCTGAGGAATAGCAGGAGAAATCTCTCACCCTGAAGCCCTCCAGCCAGGCCCACCAGTAATGGGGCTAGTGGTAGGAGCATGCAAGAAGAGCCAGACGGTCTGAGATGGATTCTGCCTCCGCCGTTTGCCAGTCATGTGATCTTGGTTGACCAGGTGCCCCTCCATGTCTCCGTCCCCTCTCCTGTAGAACAGTGTCTCCCTTATTGAGTGCTGTGAGACTCAAGTGAGTTATACACATGAACCACCGGGGATGACGCTGTGTATATTCCCTACTCTTCATTCTGAGAAACTCACTCTTCCCAAGCCACTAGGGACCATGGGCCCTCAACCCAGACGCGCTCCAGCGTCCTCTCTGGTCTGACCTGCTTTCCTTCCGGGCAGCTCGGCCTTGCCTCCGTTCTGCGACTTCCCCCTCGCACTTGTTCTCAATGTCATCTGCTTGGCACTTGGGTACTGTGTCGTTAATCCATCTTTGTTATAAATATGCCGTCTTCCCCAAGAGATGAAAAGCTCCCAGCAACGCCTCCTGCCTACAATAGGTGCTCCAGTAAGTGTGTGTTGATGGTCATGACAACTGCTAGGAGCGATTAAATCTGTTAGGCTCATTAGTCACTGCAGCCAATGAAAGAGAAGCCCCTGAGATGATTTAATTCACTCAGCAGATGAACAGGACACAAGAGGACGTGAAGAATCTCTCCGCTCTAATAATATTTTACCTTAATGGGCAAATATTAATATTCTCCCCATCATCTTAGCGGTTCCCGTCACTATTATTTGAAAGGAATAAATATATCATTTAAATTTAATTACTCAACAAAATTGCCATTACTGTTTATAGGCCTTCACTATATATAAAGTTCCAACTCATCTTTTTTCACAGCAAATAATTCCTGTTCCCTTTAAGTGAAGCAGTTATAGAAATTTTAAATCATATGTACCACATCCAAGAAAGCCAGAAAAGAGAGAAACAATGAAAACAACTTAGTACTGATTTTTGTGGAGCTGGAGAGCACACGGGACCAGGGACAAAGAGGAAGCGGGTCATTTGCATAATTTCCGATGCATCTGACCCGTAGTCCTCCAAGGCGAGGCCGCCTCTTACTTATCTTCGTTTCCACAGACGTGGCACGGCACCTGGCCCTTACTAGGGGGTCAGGACACCTGTGGGTACTGGAAGTGGACTCTACCCGTGTGGCCAGACAGACAGCCCCAGTCAGACCTTAGAGAGCTGAGTCCAGCACTCTTGGCATGAGCCCCAAGTAAGTGTATCCTGAAGAGACGAATGGAGGATTGGTGCATGGCTACAGCTGTGTATTTCAGAAAAGCGGCTGTGATTCTCTGATGCCAGCAGAAGCCAAGTGGGGAGGAAACGCAACAGTCGGCTTGTGCCTTCTGCAGGTGGACAGACTGCCTGATCGTCTCCTGCTCCCCCAGACAACGGATCATTTTTAATGCTATTTGGGTAAAACCCTGAAGGGTGGGGAGAGAAGCACCTCAGGAGGAAAGAGAGCAGGTTCAAAGGTCCTGGGGTAGGAATAACAACGGCATGTTTTAGGGAAAAGTCCAAGGTTACCTGAGTGTAAGAAGCGACAAGTGACTGACATGGCTTGAGAGTAAAGTAAGAGGCAGAATCCAGTCAACAGGGAGTCAGAAGCTCCAGTAAGAACGTGTTCATGATCCTGTGAGCAGCTCGACATGGACCCATGAAATAATCAAATGTGTGTTTTGAAAAGATCTCTCTGCTTGCTTTGTGAAGAAAACGTTGGGAAGGAGAACACACTGAAGCAGAGAGAGCATCCATGCATTCATTCCATAGATATTTATTAAGCACCTACTATGTACCAGACGGGGCCCTGGTGTCGCAGTGGCTAAGAGTTTGGCTGCTAACCAAAAGGTCAGCAGTTCGAATCCACCAGCTGCTCCTTGGAATCCCTACAGGGCAGTTCTACTCTGTCCTGTAGGGTCGCTGTGAGTCGGAACCGACTTGACAGCATCAGGTTGTTGATTCTGTTTTCGGTATGTACCAGACAGAAACCCTGGCGGTGTAGTGCTTAAGCACTGGGCTGCTAACTGATAGGTCGGCGGTTCAAACCCATCAGCCGCTCTTCGGGAGAAAGATGTGGCAGTCTGCTTCTGTAAAGATTAACAAACCCTGCACCTGGGTTCTGTTTTATCTCACAGCACTTTGGGGGAGACCACCCTGCACCCGGGTTCTGTTCTGTCTCACAGCACTTTGGGGGGTCCACCTCCACTGTCTGATATTGAGTGTGTTCTCACCCCTCCCCTCCAGGCACAATCCAGCGCCCATCGCTTACACCGTTTGCCGCTTCAGCTTTAGGGCGGTGTCACTAAGGCTCGTTGGCAGGTTTAAATCCGAGGGCAGCCGGGGCACAGATCAGAGGGATGAAGCAGATTTGGCATGGGGGGGGGCATCAGTGGGCATCCAGGGAGGAGTGGAGCTCAGTGGACACCTCTATGGCGGGGGCAGGGGGGTGACATTAAAATAAGACTCCGATCAAAGACGTCACCTGGTGTCCCTCCTCTTCCCTCTGTAGGAAGCTTACAGATTCGGTACAGCCTGGGCGGCACCCGTGAGCCCTACAACATCGACGTGGACCATAGGAGCATGGCCAACGGGCAGCCACACAGCCTGAATGTCACCCGCCAGGAGAGGACACTCCTGCTGCAGGTGGGCACGGCACACAGGGTGGGTGTGATGTCGCAGCAGACCTGGGGCAGGTGTGATGTCAGGGCAGACACGGGGCGGGTGTGATGTCATGGCAGACACGGGGAAGATGTGATGTCATGACAGACATGGGGCAGGTGTGATGTCATGGCAGACACGGGGAAGATGTGATGTCAGGGCAGACATGTGGCGGGTGTGATGTCATGGCAGACACGGGGTGGGTGTGATGTCATGGCAGACATGGGGAAGATGTGATGTCATGACAGGCATGGGGCAGGTGTGATGTCATGGCAGACATGGGGCAGGTGTGATGTCATGGCAGACACGGGGAAGATGTGATGTCAGGGCAGACATGTGGCGGGTGTGATGTCATGGCAGACACGGGGTGGGTGTGATGTCATGGCAGACATGGGGAAGATGTGATGTCATGACAGGCATGGGGCAGGTGTGATGTCATGGCAGACATGGGGCAGGTGTGATGTCATGGCAGACACAGGGAAGATGTGATGTCAGGGCAGACACGGGGCGGGTGTGGTGTCAGGGCAGACACGGGGCGGGTGTGATGTCATGGCAGACACGGGGAAGATGTGATGTCAGGGCAGACATGGGGCGGGTGTGATGTCATGGCAGACACGGGGCGGGTGTGATGTCAGGGTGTGATGTCAGGGCAGACACAGGGTGGGTGTGACGTCATGGCAGACAGGGGGAAGATGTGACGTCATGGCAGACACGGGGCGGGTGTGACGTCGGGGCGGACACGGGGAAGGTGTGGCGTCGGGGCGGACACGGGGCGGGTGTGGCGTCGGGGCGGACACGGGGCGGGTGTGATGTCACCGCACACACTGCTCCCACACAGTGTGAATCAATGTGGTTTCTCCCTCCATGGGTGCTTTGCCCTGACACCCTCAGACACAGATCTTCCCGGCCTCTCAGCACACCAAAGGGTGCTTCACGATGACACTGGGGATGTATCTCCAGTCCCCTTATTGCCCCCTCACACCTACTCGCCAGTCTTTACAGTGGAGAAGCCAGCCGGGAGACGCCATGGGTAAAACACTGCAAGGGGAGGCCTCCCCGAGAACTGAGCCAAGGATGGGTATCAGGATCACGGCGTCTCTAGAAGGCATTCGGAATAGATGCTGATTTGTCAGCGGCATGGGGGGTCAGAGACCGCCCTCCCCTGTCTCGTTTGGGTATCAATGGACATCAAAGTCACAACTGGATGTGGACTTCACCAGTGGTCTGAGCAGTAGATGCTGTCGGCATAGTAAGGAAGGATCTCTCCCAGGAGAACAACCCTGCAGGTCCAGCTTATTCTGCAAACACTCCAGCGTGGAGTGAGCCAGCCTCCTCACAGCCACCGGCAGAGCCCCTGATCCCAGCCCGGCCAGCGCAGACAGGGAAGGCCAGATACCTGTGGGATAAACGAAGCCCACCTGCAGCCGCAGCCCACGTCTTGTTCAGGAGAGCAAGGCAGCCCGGGCGCTGGAGGCTTCATGCCGTTTCACCAACATAGGGTCACTCGCTTTCCGTTAGAGACGTTCTCTTGTTTTAAGCCACCCAATCTGTCGCCTCTCAAGGAAAGTGGTTTTTTTTGGTTTGTTTCTTTGTTTTGGCATTCCACCATCGCAAAGATTAGAAGTTAAAAGCACTAAATTGGCTGTAAGGCCAGCATAACAGAGGAGATCCACCGCAGCTGTGGGGCTGGTCCCCCTACCTCCCCTTGGGAGCCACCTGCAGAGGAGGTGGTGGATGGGCGGGAGGGGGGCAGAGCTACAAGCCCACTTCTGGGGACATTTCCCACAGTGGACGTCTGGGGCAAGGGTAGGTAAGGTGCCCCTACCCCACCCCACCCCGGCACATTCAGCCAAGCAAGGACTCTTAGGGACTCAGCAGCCACTCAGGAAGGTGCCACCACCAGCTTATTCCTTATTTTCTGTTATAAGCCTGCGTTGCACTGAGAATAATACATATATAAAGCATGTGTGTGTCCTCCCATTATGATAAAATATAACGACAAAGATTTAAATCATTCCAAATTAAAATATGTAATCAAAGAGAAGAACAAAGATTTGGCGAATCCAAACATGGGTTTAGAAGTGCCGTGGAGTGACGCCTTTGGAATTCAGGTGAGCAGTGCACGTTGACACCTGCTGAAACATCAGATCACTAGTGATGTTTATCAGTATGGATAGTACTTTTAAAGCAAGTTTACTTTTCTGCCTGGGCTTGGCGAGAGCCGACGTTCAATTACTCTGCATTTCCTGAGCACTGGATGCCCGAAACAGAGTTCAGCACCAGGGGGAAAGTGACCTGGATGAAACCTGTGCTGCCAAAAACCCAAGTGCAGCACGCTCGGTCTGTCTGACCTACCCTCCGTGCTCCAGCGATGGGAATCGGGGTGCTTCTCCCTCGGTGGATGCTTTGCCCGGCACCCCCAGACACAGGCAGAGAGAACGAGGGGCTGACCGGTCCTCACCATTCAGTTAGCAACCCAGAGCCGGGACAGCCCTCGCGTGGCGCGTTTATGAAAACTCACAGTTGTGTTTGGGGAGAACAGCTTGAGACCGTGTTGGAGCGCACACAAGCCACGCAGGCACCTGAAGAAGAGCCTCCCATAAAGCACTTGGCCAGTTCGCATGAAAACGCCAGTTAGCAGCTCCACACCTCACATGACGGCTCCTTTCTGCTCTCTCCCTCCACCCCGCCATCCCTGGTTTTCTCCTCCCTTCTTTCCTCCCAGCCACACTGCACAAGGGGTCTTCTTAGTCTCCTGGTGCTGCCGTAACAGAAATACCACAAGTGGTTGGCTCTAACGCACAGAAATTTATTTTCTTACAGTTTAGAAGGCTAGAAGTCCCAATGCAGGACGCTGGCTCTAGGGGAAGGCTCTCTCTGTCAGCTCTGGGGGAAGATGCTCATCTCTCTCCACTTCTAGAGTCCCAGTGTTCCTCGGTTCCTTGGGGATCTCCACCTGGCATCTATCTCTGTGCCTAATCTGTACCTGGCTTGCTTTGTACCTAATCTGCTCTTTTTATGTCTCAAAAGTGGTTAGGTTTAAGGCATTCCCTACACTGATACGGCCTCATTAACGTAACGAAGAAAGCCTGTTCCCAAATGAGAACACATCCACAGGTATAAAACAAAACCCATTGCCGTGGAGTCCATTCCGATTCATAGTGACCCCATATGACAGAGTAGAACTGCCCCATAGGGTTTCCAAGGAGACTGGTGGATTCCAGCTGCCAGCTTTTGGTTAGCAGCCATAGCTCTTAACTACTGTGCCTATCTTAGTTATCTAGTGCTGTATAACAGAAATACCACAAGTGGATGGCTTGAACAAAGAGAAATTTATTCTGTCACAGTCTAGGAGGCTAGAAGTCCGAATTCAGGGTGCCAGCTCTAGGGGAAGGCTTTCTCTCTCTGTTGGTTCTGAAGGAACGTCCTTGTCATCAATCTTCCCCTGGTCTAGAAACTTCTCAGCACAGGAACCCCAGGTCCAAAGGACGAATTCTTCTCCTGGCACTGCTTTCTTGGTGGTTTGAGGCCCCCATGTGTCTCTGCTTGCTTTTCTCTTTTATATCTCGGAAGAGATTGACTCAAGATACAATCTAATCTTCTAGAATGAGTCCTGCCTCATTAATATAACTACCTCTAATCCTGCCTCATTAACGTCATAGAGGCAGGATTTACAACACATAGGAAAATCACATCAGATGACAAAATGGTGGACAGTCACACAATACTGGGAATCATGGCCTAGACAAGTGGACACATATTTTTTTTGGTGGGGGGGGGTACACAATTCAATCCATAGCAGAATCTAAGGTGGTTTACAGGGAATGTATAAAATGAAATAGGAAATTAAAGTAAGTAACAAAAAGTAAGCAAGGGGAAAATAGAGCATAATTACTCAGGGATAGGGTCTTAGCCACTTGTATAAATTTGGCTCTCGACTTCTTCATGGCCAGAAGTACGCAGGCCATAGGGATAAAATATTCCAGTTTCTCTAGAGAACTAAAACCTTCTTAATACATCATTCTTTTTATTTTTTAATCTTTTATTTTTATACGTAGGCTGGCATAGAAGGCTGCCCATAGCATGACCCACGTATGCAGTATTACATACATGTTTTGGTTGCTATTGTTAGTTGCCCTTGAGTTGGCGCCAACTCATGGCAATCTTATTATGTACAACAGAACAAAGCATTGCCCGGTCCTGCGCCATCTTCATGATCATTGGTGTGTTTGAGTCCATTGTTGTGACTATTTTGTCAGTCCATCTCGTTGAGGGTCTCTCTCTTTTTTGCTGACCCTATACTTTACCAATATGATGTCCTTTTCTAGACATTGATCTTTCCTGATGACAAAAAAAAAAAAAAAAAAAACCCGTTGCCATCAAGTCGATTTCAACTCATAGCAACCCTATAGGACAGAGTAGAACTGCCCCATAGGGTTTCCAAGGAGCGCCTGGTGGATTCAAACTGCCAGTCTTTTGGTGAGCAGCTGTAGCTCTTAACCACTGCACTGACATGTCCATAAGTAAATAAGCCCAAGTCTAACCATCCTCACTTCTAAGGAGCATCCTGGTTGTATTTCTTCTAAGACTGGTTTGTTCGTTCTTCTGGCAGTCCACAGTATATTCAGTATTTTTCGCCGACACCACAGTTTGAATGCATCAATTCTTCTGTCTTCGTTTTTCATTGTTCAGCTTTCACATGCATATGAGTCGATTAAAAATACCAAGGCCTGGGTCAGGTTCACCTTAGTCATCAAAATGACATCTTTGCTTTTTAAGACTCTAACGAGATCTTTTGCAGATCTGCCCAATGCAATACGTCATTTAACTTCTTGACTGCTCCTTGCATGGGCGTTGATTGTGATCCACAGAATGAAATCCTTGACAACTTCAGTTCCATCCCCATTTATCACGATGTTATCGGTCCAGTTGTGAGGATTTTTGTTTAACTTCCATTTATTGATTCTAACTGTGTTCTAGGTGCC